CTCCCCAGTCGGCGCCCAACGGACTTTTGGCAACATTAACGTGCGCGTCATCGCTGTTGCTCAGAAGGAGAGCTACACTGAACGCAAACTCATTCTCACTGTATGTGCTTTCCCTCCATTAGAGCCCTTCTCAATTTGATATTACAGTTCCTCTGGTGAAATTATCTGCATGTATGCACGTATAACTTCTAACCTTTCCCACATATATTCAAGTGAAGTAACAGAGGTCTATGGTGGTATAGGAAACGTCACAGCGATTTGGCAACCGGGGTGTAGATGAAGGCTGAGATTCACTTCACTGTCACATCTATTAAATGTTAACATTCGATGCTTAGGTTGTTAGCAAAGGTAAGCTTTAAGTCATCCAAAATAACGTCATATTGTAAATTCACACCACTTCATCATCCAAGTGTTCTTCGACCATCATTCAGGCGGATGGTGAAGAACGTCGAGTCACTCACTTTTGGTACATTGGATGGTCCGATCATTCTTCGCCGGAGGCGACTCTCGAGTCGGCACGCAGTCTTCTTGATCTAGTTCATGAAACGGAGGCCTGCCGTTACCAGAACAGTGGTTCCTCATTACCTTCCACACCGGCGTCGAAGCAAATACCCAATTCCACTGCCATTTTGCCACCTGCATCGCCGAAGTTACTTTCACGACAGCCCGCAGAAGAGTGGTCTGATGCTGACTTCGATCTGCGTTTCCCGGCTGATGTTCCCCGCAAGGAGAGCTCTCATACTGCTGCATTAAATCTTTTTTTCTTGGGCGAGTCCGAGACTTCTGAGCTCACTCCTCCCGGTCCTGGCTACCGGGCTTACCGTGCCTCCGACCCTGCACCCATAGCTGCCTCAGGCGCCACCTCTGTGGGTCCTGTAGTGGTGCATTGCAGTGCTGGTGTAGGTCGCACTGGCTGTTTCATCGCTCTCTGCATCGGTTGCGAGCAGCTGCGAACCGAGGACAAGGTGGATGTGTTGGGTATTGTCTCGCGTCTCCGTCTCGATCGCGGAGGGATGGTTGAGAACTCTGAGCAGTATACCTTCCTTCATGCCGCCCTTTGCATGTACAACGCTATCAGGAACGGTCGCGAGCTTCCAATCCTGCCAGCAATCACAAATCTGCGCAACCAATTTACTGGACCCCTTAGGTAGCATCCGTCGCCCTCCTGATGCCTGCAGGTCTTTTCACTAAGTGATTGTAAATATGAAATGTGCTTTCGTTGCATTTTGTGTGGCGATGGGAATGTGAACAGAATCTTTTATTTTTGTGTCTCTTTTGCACCTTTTTGTCTGATCAACGGTGGTTCTTTCCAACCCTACTTTTGAAACTGGACTTAGGTACAGTCTGACCATTTTCTGTCACAAGGCCCCCTTTCTCCTATCCTTTCTCCCTCGTTTTTTTTCAGACAGTTTTTTCAAGATGGATCGATGGAACTGACGCTTGATTATGTGCAGTATTTTTAATAGACTGCGTGAGTATGGTTGTCTGTAGCATGGATCTTGTGTATGATAAATCATTAATATCATAAGTTGTGATTAATGTGTGACTCTTCGAGAGAGGTCCGAATGTATGAATTTACATGAAACTCCTGCCGATATAAGTTGATCACTTTCTGTTATGCAAACGACAAAATTGCTCTCTACTGATCTACTTGAACATGAGTCTATGTTATTTTTATACGGTGCAATCATACTGACCAAAATATTCGAATAACTGCATCAAAAGAATGGCGAAAACTTCAGAACTGCAATTGTTTTCGCGTTAAATTCGTGATAACGTATTTTTTACGTAGACCGTTAGTTTCGTTTTTGCCCATTGCTGTCTGTGCAACATTGACGAATAACACTTGGC